ACTTTACTGTATTACCTTTAGCTGTCTTTATTTTTTTAAAGCTGTAATAACTGCTTTAGTTAATATCTAGCTTATTATAAAGCCTAACTTATTAAAGTTATACATGTCTTTATTTTAGATACTATACTTAGCTTTTATATTAGCTACTAAGTAAAACTAGCCCTAGATAACTTTTAAATTTTTATAAAGTGCTTTTTTATAATTATACTTATAATTAAACTTTATTATAAACTTAAAGCAGTGCTTAACTTATATACTAGGCTAGTTTAAGCTAACCTAGCCTAGATTACACTCTGCGCGTAAGGAATTAGCTATATTAGCTATAGCTATAAGCCTAAAAAGAAATCTGTGTGTAATAAGCTTATGTACTTAATAACTACTTTTTTTTAAGCTTAGTTAGATTCCTTAATTTAGGCTAGCATTTTACTTATAAAGGCTGTCTAGTGTGTTAATTACTTAGTGTTATATAAAAAACATTATAGATAGCTACAGCGTGTTATAAGAAAAGTTTTAAGTCTTATTTAAAAGCTTAAAAAGTAAGCTGTATCTAACGTTCTTTAAAAAATTTAATCTAGTGTTATTGTTAAGGCATTATGTAGATAGTTAGAGTGTAGTAGAGGCTTAGCAAAAGTGGCTAGCTAACCTGTGTGGCCGGCTAACCTGTTAGGTACGTTAAACCTTTTAAAAAAATTAAAAAGTAAAGTATTTTAAAAAAGACTTATTATTATTAAATAAGATTAAAGTGCTAAAAGTAAAAGCTTACAGTTCTTTCTTTTAGCTTATATTATAGAATTATTAACTTCCTACATTACAGCTATCTAATAGTGTTGTTATTAAGCTTAAAAAGGTTATTATTAATCTTTATATTAAATAGTAAGTACTTTTTTAAGACTTATACATCTATTCCTTTCTTAAAGATTAGTTTAACTCCCCTGCCTATACCTAGAAGAAAGGACAAACTACGTTGCTGCATCCGCAGACCTATACACAAGCTACAAGAACTGTACACTCTTGCAGACCCGTCACCCTCTTCTATTCTCGTCACCACCCCTCCTCAGCCGTAGTACCACGTGACCGCATCACAAAGTAAGTAACGTAACAGTAAGCAACTCGCTTATAGTGTACGTTAGCTATGTATAAAGTTTTTTTTAAAAAAAATTAAATAACTAATATATTAAATAACTTATAGAGGCTAAATAATAAAAAGAAGTAGGTAATTATTAAGTATATACTTACACTAGATATGTAAGAATTTTTCTTTTAGCTAGTAGCTATAGCTAATATAGCTAATTCTTTACACGCTAAGTGTAATCTAGGCTATGTTATTATAAACTAGCCTAGTATGTTTATAAAGTGTTATATAAAGCTTAAAGTAAAGTTTTAAGTGTAAGTTGTAATAAAGTAGGCGCTTTACCTGCTAAGTTAATACTATACAACTTACTCTACTATACTAAAAGATACGTATAAGAATACTTAAGCTAAGTATTCTTACATAGTATAATATATATAGATAATGCTAGGGCTAGCACTAGTACTAGCGGTTGTCTCTAGTCTAGCCTAAACCTCTATAAGCAAGAGAAGGCTACGTAGTTAACTGTGTCTACCTTGTTATAATAATCTAAACTAAATTAAGCACATATTAGACTTAAACATAGTTAAACAAATAATTAATGTAGTATTATTAATAAGGCTGTTACTAGTAAAAGAAAGTTTTCTAATATAATGTAACAGCATAGGCAAGACAATAGGTCTAATGCGGTATAAATCTACTTAGAAGCATATAGAAGTGTGTAGCGACTTAGAAACCTAGGAATGCTATTAACACCTATAGGCCTTGTACAGTCGCCTACTAAAAGTCATTAGCCACTCAACGATCTAAGCTCTGCAGGGGTATAGTTATCCTATTTAGGAAAGAGGTTACTTAACTAATTGCTACCTAAATTAAAAGATTTTTGTTTCTATAAGAAGCCTATGTTAAGGCCTATCTTCTAGTGTTATAGTTAATTAATAGTAAGTTAACCTACTTTTATTTTAGATAACTTCCTTTATGCGCTTTAACTAGCTTAGAATACTCTTTCTATAATTAGCTAGTGTAATCTTTGCCTATTTCTTTTTAAGAATATCTACTATCTGCTTACAAGTAGTAATATATGTTTATTACTTTAAAATGCAGAGCTTTATAATCTACTAGAGGTTCTTAATTAGGTTTAAATTAGAACTTTATAAAAGCTAATTTATCTATATTATGCTATAGTTGTTTATATACTTTTAGATAGCCTTTGCAGTATAAATAGGGGCTCTATCCTGCATTTATATGCTAATACCGCGTTTCTCTGTAAGCTGCTTATAGAATAGAATGCTAACGTTGTGCAGAATTTAGTAGTATTTACTAGCATTATTCTACTTGCCTTTCTAGTTAATAAACAGCTTTAATTTAAAATTAAAAGAGATTACACTAAATATAAAGACTATAGTTCTTCTAGACTTAAATGTAGGCTTTAGGTACTAACTCTTATACGCTTTTCTATGCTGCTAACATACATATAGAGGTCTAGTGTCTAAGCTAACTTTAAATGTTGCTTTATTATAATAGGCTATGTAAGCTATGTTACTACTCTTGTTATATTAATAAATTTAAGTAAAGTAGAGTTGTTTTTCTTTATGTACAGCTAAAAGCTAAAGCTTATAACATAGACAGAAGGCATAGTACTTATATTTTATAAGGTATCTTCTTATAGTACTAGCATAGATGCAGCAGTAGGTTTTAGATAGTGTTATAATAGTCTAGAGCGTAGTAAAAGGATTATTTACTGCCTAGCAAATTAAATGCCTTTTAGCGCGTTTATTAAGCTTTAGAGGCTAGCCTATACGCAGGGCTTTTGTATAGATAGGCTAGGGCTGCTTGCGCAGCTAGCAGATGTTATATGTAACTGTTAACTTAGAAATGCTAAGATAACTTAAAATTTTGCTAGCGCTTACACTATAACGTACTTTATGGGCGAGTTGCTCACACACCTGAGTTGCTTACTTTTGCTAAGACCCTACTAAACCACCCTTTCTACACTAATGCATTCCCTACAACACTACTTAGACGCGCTAAAAGAACATTAGATACAGCTTACACTCTAAGCTTTTAAATAAGACATAAAACTCTTAAAGAAATATACTATAGCTATATGTAAGGTCCTATAAAAGATAATAAATAACTATAGCGCTAGACAACCTTTATAAGCTAATTCTACAGCTAAATTATAGAAGCTAGGCAATAAAAAGAAGCAGGTAATTGTTAAGACTATACTTAAGCTATATGCGCAAGGAATTTCCCCTTAGATAGCATTTATAGCTAATATAGCTAATTCTTTGCGCGCTAAGCGTAATCTAGGCTATGTTTACATAAACTAGCCTAGTATGTTTATAAAGTGTTATTTAGAGCTTAAAGTAAAGTTTTAAGCGCAAGTATAGTTAAGAGATATCTAGCTAATTATAAACCCTATCTTACTAAAGTTGTACATGTTATTATTCTAGATGCTATACTTAGCTTTAATATTCTCTACAAGGCTAAACCTGCCCTAAATTACCCTAGGACTCTTGTAGAGGGCTCTCTTATAGTTATACTTACACTTAAACATTACTTTAAGCTCTAAATAACACTTTACAAACATACTAGGCTAGTTTATGCAAACATAGCCTAGATTACGCTTAGCGCGTAAAGAATTAGCTATATTAGCTATAAATGCTATCTAAGGGGAAATTCCTTGTGCATATAGCTTAAGTATAGTCTTAATAATTACCTGCTCCTTTTTATTGCCTAGCCTTTATAATTTAGCTGTAAAATTAGCTTATAAAGGTTGTCTAGCGCTGTAGTTATTTATTGTCTTTTATAGGACTTTATATATAGCTACAGCACATTTCTTTAAGAGTTTTATGTCTTATTTAAAAGCTTAGAGCGTAAGCTGTATCTAACATTCTTTTAGCGCGTCTAAGTAGTGTTGTGGGGAATGCATTAGTGTAGGAAGAGTAGTTTAGTGGGGTCTTAGCAAAAGTAAGCGACTTAGGTGTGTGAGCAACTCGCCCATGAAGTACGTTAAAGGTAGAATTACTATATTATATTAATAGTAGACTTAGATAGCTCTTTACGCAAGGTTTTATTTGCTTTTATAACTATTAAAAAAGGTAGTAATTTAATTAAGTTACAATTAATTAAAATTAAAGCATTGTAAGGTGGCCTAGGCCTCTCGCTAAAGTGGCCAATCACTTTTGGTAGGCGACTGTACAAAAGGATATTAGAAAACTACTAAGTCTAAGGACGGAGCTCTGTACCACTACGCTAATACAACTAAAAAGGTGCGAATAATCAACCAACAGTTAATTATTGCGTATAGAATAGTATATATACCCGTCGCACGTAAGCGCCATCTCGGCCTTACACTAAGCTGGCTACAGGGGAGAGGTGCGACTAAATACTTGGGGGAATAGGGGTACAGCAGGGGCCAGAGTAGGGTCGGAGCAGATACGAGGAACCTTCGGATGTCGGTTCGCCGAGATGGAACGATTCGTGTGAATCGTTACAGTTAGAGAGTTGCATTAAAGTGTAGTTATAAGTGTAAAGCTAAGATGGCGCTTACGCACGACAGGTATATATACTATTCTGTACGCAGATCAACTGTTGGTTGATTATTCGCACCTTTTAGTTGTATTAGCGCAGTGGTACAGAGCTCTGTTCTTATAATAAGGTAATTATAATATCTTGTGCAGGACTTAGTAACACAATACTTTACAAAATCTTATTAAAAACAGGCTATAAAAATGTTAGAATATAGCTAGAATCTGTCTCTATTACCTATTAGAATCTAAGCTAGTTTACATGTACAGCAGTAGAGCTAAAGTAGTTCTTAGCTAAGCGAGTGCATAGTAGAGGAGGTTTGTAATTACTATATTACCTAAAAAATTACAAAAGTCTTTTAGACAGCTAGACAGAGAAAGCGTTTTTAAGTCCCTAATTAGTTGGCCTTGTCATCGGAGGAGCTAGTTGGGGTCCCCCTCCTGGTTGCAGGGGGAGGGTCCTTAGGGGCTCTGAGCTTCTCTACACAGTCGGCTGAGCACCTGAGATAACCCTCTACTTGGGCTAGGTTCACTCCCTCGGTCAGTCATTCACGATCTCTTACCCCAGTTAACCTTGTGATATGTTGCTTCCAAGGGCCGTTTTGCCGTCAACCGCGGCTTATCCGCTATTCGACAACTCATTTGGCGCGATAGACTTCGGATTACAAAAGGTAGAGTTCTAGAGCTACCCAAGTGGAAGGACGGGAGTTATCTTATAATCAACAGCCGACTTTAACACTGATTCATAATTGGATCGGGGCTATGGAACAAGGGCTTACATTCATGTTAGCCATCCAAATCGGTGGTGCTCCATAAGATACTATAAGACAGATACGGGACGAGAGCATTGTGAGCAGCAAGAGAGGGGAAAGAATTGAGCCTTGCTACGCGGTGTTCCTAATTCAGAGAGGAAATTGAGATAGGAACGGACATTGTGCGACATAGATAGCCCTCCTGGACGATTATGATATCAATATTCCGCTATAGATGGCGATGATGAAACCCCCGGTTCCGCCGAAACTCGCCTCTTGATTTCAAATCAGATCGCCCAAACTTGCGACAATAATCGTTTTCCCATGACGCCTAAAATGATGAAAAGATAATTTTAAGATAGCAACGCGACGCTCAATCAAAAAGATACAAAGAAGGAGTGTCAGACGAGGCGGTAGCTTTCCCTGCCATTGGCTTTGAGCTGGCCATAACTGCCGACCAAACCTTCGGTTGGGTGGGATGTTCGGCCCATCGTAGAGATGTACCACCATGGCTGTATCCACCGAGAAGCTTAGAGAATGAGAGGTGTCGAGATTCGTCTGAGCCTTGCTCGTCTTCTCAAGGACGCTCCAGGCTAGGTCGTGCTCTATCTCCGAATTTGCGATAAAGCGGCTGACATACTTTCTCTATGAGGGTGGCCGCTCGGATTTCGACAGCAAAGAGCATCGGGCTTTCGAAAACAGCGCCAGCTTGAGCTTTCTGTAGGCTTCAATTGCGGCATCTCTTGATGTTGGGTCAGCCTCAGACGTAGATCGAGGTCGAGAGCCCCTCTCTGGCAAGGTGGACGTCCAAGAGGAAATAGTGGATACTCGGCTAGGGGGGAGGAAGGGATGAGGCGAAGGAGGTGGTGTTGGTATAGTCTGCATTTTTTCGCCGTGGGAAGAAATAAATGGAGATGAGCCAATGGAGGGATCGGTGTATACTGTGGACGACATATCAAGGGGAAGCTTCTCCGAAGGAAATGGGGGCAGGTCGGCAGCAATATGAAGGACCTCCACAACAGTCGATTGCAAGAACGACACACGGTCTTTTTCTTATGGTCCTAGTGATGCAGCGAATTCCTGCAAGATCAACTACCCGGAATTAGTAAAGCGACGTGTTCCTGGATTTCATAAACATGTCGTGGCGTCCCACCACATCACAGATTGAAACTTGCGGGCACATTGTGTAGGATGCAGCAAGATTAGTGAATCACAAAGAAAAGAATGGCGACATATCGGCTTCCATTGGACCGACCAATCAACAACAGGAGCTAGGCCAAGCCTTTCGCCCAGTTTGTGGCTGATTAAAACCACGAGGCCGAGCGCGGATTCAATTTGTCGATTTCCGGGCATGAGAGTTGCCACAGAATGCAGCAGGAAGCGAAACACAACCGTGGGACGTGGGTTTTTGGCGTTGGTGGTGAGCATTCCAAATTCTACCCATGATTCCAAATTAATCCTTATGTCCTCATCCCTAGTTTGGCCTAGCGTAGCCCTCGGAATGCCGCATGTATCAGCATTACTCTTCGAGATGCCTAACACCACCTAGATATTTTGAATCATGAGGATGAATCTGTTCTGGCGTGGTGGACACGTCTACGTCGCCAAGCACGCCACGGATCAAAGGCTTCCACCAGGCAGGGAAATATTCATGGCAGGATTTGCATAACATTCCCTTTGATGAGACCCCACGACTGCACTTCATGCATACATTTCATTTCTTCAAAGGTCAAATTCTCGGTTTGCGGTCATGCAAGACGGGCCTTAATTTCTTATGATCTTATTGCTTCTGGCGTGTTCAAATACCTTGACATATACCCTAATTGAACTCCCGTCCAACTTTCGATCATTCGAGCTTGTTTCCTCGGCCATTCACGTCATACAGGACCCTCGCGGATATACTATTGATGTATTTGCTTCTTGTTGGCCAGGAGCGCCTTGTCAGCGAAGGATCAACTGCCCCCTGCTAGCTACTGCCCGTTCCACCAGTCTGGTAGAACACGAACGGAGGGAGCCCTATCGACGAAGACTTGCTCTCTTTTTAGACCGCCCTTTCACGACGTAGTGGCACTGCATCCGTCTATTATCGATCAGACCTTCTCTTCTCATCGTCTGCTCCGAGCGGCTTACCGATCCGTATTTCAGTGGGCACCACTCGATGCAAGAAGCCAACAACGATTAAGGTAGTATGAGAGTGCGCATCTGTAGCGCCAGTCCAGCTTCTTTTGTGCGGTACTAGCAGAATATTGCGATCATTCCACAGGCGAGGCAGTTAGTATTTGAAATCTGTTGACGGAAGCAAGGGTTCTCGGTGATCGCCATTCGACACTTACTAGGCGGCCAGACTTCCATTTTGGAATACGTTCAAGTTCTCCCTCTCCACACTGTTTTGGGTCACCTCCGGCTACGTCGAGAATCCTCTTTTGACATACCCAGTTCATCCCAACTTCCAACATGGATTGGTTTAGCGATTAGATAGCTTGGCTTCTAATCTCTCATGGCTATCCAAGTGCAACTCTTTGGTATTTGGTGGATTTCGAGTGCCACAGCACCCTTAGACAGAATTATGCTTGCCCTAAAGTTTTCTGAGAGAAAGACGAACTGACGCTGTCGCCCGTCGTTGCTCGAGTGAAGGAAGAAATACTTCGTGTATCTACCGCCATCCTTTGACATAACGTGTCGAAAGGAACGGAACCCCTGTCCAAGAGGATCAACCAGCCAGCACTCCCCGGTATTTTCTCCGCATTAAAAGACCACAGATGACCATTTTTAGTCCTGTGACTTCTGCCAAAGGGCCATGAACGGCGTGTTTACTGCATGTTGACCCTAACGGCTGAATATAACAAGAACCCGGTTTGAAACAAGAATCGGCTTTCTCATATAACTCGCCGTGTTCCATCAAGAGGTTTAAAAAATGAGATGATGCACTGTCGTTGGTCGTAACAGGCGCCAACGTGCTGTGAATTTGTCACTCAGTGCACTCTCATGCTAAGGGCGAGCAAGCACTCCTATGATCACTCCTCTATTCCTCGTATTCTAGGCTGTATTAACACAGCTGATTAGATGCGACTACAAGCCCATGACGCCTATGAAATTTGGAATTGGCACGAGGTACACAATAGAGGACCAGCGAAACTAGGACGAGAGGACATTCATTCCGCTGGTTTAAAGCTGATTAACCTAGAATAAGTAGTAATTGCTCACTGATACTTCGCAGAAAGACTAAATTGCAAAAGGGGTATCAAAAACACTGTATGCTGTAAGAAGATGGATAGTGGAAAAATAACGATTCCGAATATACTTGAGCTCATATTAGCCTGATCTCCGTCTTCTTTCTAGCAGTATTAGTTGAGTGGCATCCAACTCTCTTTCTTGCCTCATATCTTTACTCAGTTGGTATAAACCGAAGAGCCTGCTCAATCTATTCATTCCGCTCAAACGGGCTCTTCATCGTGCCCTTACAGGCCTGGGTTCTCTCCCGCGAACTCTCGGAAGACTTACCAACCCCATTATTACCATTTCAGTAACGACCTATGTTCCTGACTCTGGAAGATGAGACGACCGCCGAAGGTGTACATATACAAAAAGACAATCGTACTCTCATCAAGGTTAATTAGCTACTCTTCTCCTGCAATCTTCACTCGGTGAATTCCTTCTACGAATTTTGCGGGCACCTCAAGCACCACTCACGAACTCTTGCCATGCCTAGATTGGGCAAAACGATAAGATACCCGCGATAGTTCGGTACTTTCGTTCCATCATGGATTTCATTCAACTCTTTGTCCTTAGCCTCCGACGGTAAAACCCTGGGTACCTAAGTGATGCTTAAAAAGGATGCTGAATGAGTATATCTCACGAAGATGCCGACACGTGTAACAATCCCATGGTTCAACCATGGAGTGGTTAATTTAGTCTTCATCTAACTAACCTCCTGCAAACCCAACAAATGCAGCACTTGCAATATCGAATCGATTTTGGTTATTCATCTTTAGTGCACTGGCTACTATAATGATGCGATTTTTCAAATAATTATTTAGTTCTTATCCGGCCTGTGACGTTCTCCCCCAGTATACGTCGATATCAAGACCTTCGGACCAAATATTTGCCATATCCTCCATTCTTTCAGCAAGGATCTATCAGCTTCCTTAGATGTGTGGGGGTAGAATTTCGATTTCAAAAAATACTAGGAAGATATCGCAAAGTCAAGCCCGCGGTCAGGTGGAGTCATTATTTCGTGTTCCATAGAAATTGTGGGATGATCCCATTCACATTCATGGCGCTAACAGAGTCAAGACAATGTTCTGGTGTACTTAAGATTCGCCCGCACCAACTTTCAGCGAAAAATAGCAGACTTCCCATCGTACTGTGCACATGATTAGGGGTGCTAACAGCTCGAGTTTCTTCATTCTTTTACGATCCCTACCAACCAGCCCGCAGACTTATCATCACGCACAAAGCTGGGCAATAGTGTCCTCTGAAGCGATGGTGGGTATTGGATATCGGGCTTTGGGCCTAGCGATAGCATTTACTATACTAGAAATCATTCTGGTGTTCTTAAGATAGTAAACACGCGTTTTCCTGACTTAAGAAGCGGACTGGAAGATTTTTTCATCACTATAGCTTTAGGGAGAGAGGATGCCATTTGGGAGGATGGCCTACTGATCATGAAGATTCTGTGTATGGCAATGATCATTGCTATGGGAGGAGGTGAAGTTCTACACTAATTTCTAGACTCCTCTAACATCTGCTAGTGGAAAGGACAGGCCTAGGGGTATAGAAGTAGAACTTGATACGAACAATCAAAGAAAGGAGATGAAAGCTTCCTTAATCCCGACGTTAATGAGAGAGAGTCCGATAGTATAGTTCCTACTAATACCTACTCGATTATGACTGCTTAGTTCAGTTAGTCTTCGCTCCGAGTATATTCTACCAGTGATGTATCAATACAACCAAAACCTCAATAATGATCTATTATCTGCGAATCTTCCCCTGACTCCGATAATTCATCACGCTTGGAACTCAGTCCTTTGTAGGTGCGATAGCTGGGGTCACTGGTGACGAAGACTCGATTTAGGGGCGGACAGAGCTCGGAGCAATTCCCAGCGCATAGCCATGATCACGAATGTGACAGCATATTATAGCACGCATCAAGAGGGTTTATAGAAAGCCATTTACCTCATATCAGCGCGCGATAGGTCGGTGACAAGTGACAAGGTACGGGGGGAGCTTGGACCACCAAAAGCAAATGACGCCGACTCCTACCTGGGCAAGCTCACAGCTCCACCAGATCTGAAGACTTGCCGATTCACTCTCAGCACTGCACCCTGCTCCGTCTACCAGCTCCCATCTCCTGTGCATGCTAGGTCTGCGGCCTCGTCTTAAAGCCCGACCTTCGCTTCTCGATCTCATCCGCAGGCAGAACATTGACGACAACTCGCAGTCGCTTCCCGTGCTGGTGGCAGACGCACGCCCCATCCATATCCCGCTCCCTTCGAGCCCGCAGATAACACCGCAGATTGAAGCCCCCGGTCCGCCGCCTTACAGCTTGAAGGACGAGGAGAAGAACGCTTTAAAGATGGCTCCGGTAAGCTTTGTTGTTGCCATGGAGAGGGTGGAAGGGTTGCATGGCTGACTTGGCGGGGCGGCAGAAAGGTCAGCGAAAGACGATGGAGGTCGGCGAGGACCTGCATGGTATGCATTTCCAGCATGCGCTTAAGGGGTTGGAATTGATGCTAATTTAATTCTACAGGCTCCGTGTACTCTATCTCTGGGTACGTCGCCCTGCACAGTATTGCCAATTCGACCGTTCTGCTGACAGTTCAAGACCCGTTATTGTGGCCGAGAACATGATAGGATGTGCTATGTACGAGCTTGTATGTTCTTCTATGGGGCTAGGTATCCTTCAGAGGCTTACAAGGATAGGTGCGTGTTGGTCACGACTCTCTGGTTGGAGAAGTGATTCGAATCGAGGCCGATAAGGCCACTATCCAGGTCTACGAAGAGACAGGTATGGGGCCTATATACTTAATCGAAGCACAAACTCACGCTCCATAGCTGGTGTGACAGTGGGGGACCCCGTTGTCGGTTCAGGAAAACCACTCTCCGTCGAACTCGGCCCTGGTTTGATGGAAACCATCTACGACGGAATCCAACGGCCCCTCCGAAATATTGCAAACATCTCCAACAGTATTTACATTCCCCGTGGCATCGATGTCCCTTGTCTCGACCGGGAGATCAAGTGGGACTTCACGCCCGGGAAACTGAAGGTCGGAGACCACATCACTGGCGGTGATGTGTTCGGCTCCGTTTTCGAGAACAGCCTTCTCAACGACCACAAGATTCTACTGCCTCCAAGAGCTCGAGGTACCATCACTCGGATAGCAGAGAAGGGCAGCTATACGGTGGACGAGAAGATTCTGGAACTGGAGTTCAACGGCGTAAAGACTGAGTACAGCATGATGCACAACTGGCCTGTCCGTGTGCCTCGCCCTTCTACTGAGAAACTATCTTCAGATCAACCCCTCATTGTTGGTCAACGTGTTCTCGACGCACTATTTCCTAGCGTACAAGGTGGCACTGTGTGCATTCCAGGCGCTTTCGGGTGCGGCAAGACTGTCATCAGTCAGTCCTTGTCTAAGTTCTCCAACAGTGACATCATTGTCTATGTCGGATGCGGCGAGCGCGGTAATGAAATGGCCGAAGTCTTGATGGAGTTCCCTGATCTGACTACTGAAGTCAACGGCAAGGAGGAGCCCATCATGAAGCGAACCACGCTCATTGCCAACACATCCAACATGCCCGTGGCTGCCCGGGAAGCCTCCATCTACACGGGTATCACCGTGGCCGAGTACTTCCGTGATCAAGGCAAGGACGTTGCCATGATGGCTGACTCGTCCTCTCGATGGGCGGAGGCTCTTCGTGAGATTTCGGGTCGTCTCGGGGAAATGCCTGCTGATCAAGGCTTCCCTGCCTACTTGGGTGCTAAGTTGGCCTCTTTCTACGAACGTGCTGGCCGTGTCACTGCTTTGGGGAGCCCAGAGCGACACGGCAGTGTCAGTATCGTTGGCGCCGTAAGCCCGCCAGGAGGTGATTTATCAGATCCCGTTACTAGCAGCACACTTGGTATCGTGCAAGTCTTCTGGGGTCTCGATAAGAAGCTCGCTCAACGGAAACATTTCCCATCGGTGAACACATCAATCAGTTACAGCAAATACACCACGTCTCTCGACAAATACTATGCTAAGAACAACCCCGAGTTCCCTCGGCTACGAGACCGTATCAAGGAGCTGCTTACAACCTCGGAAGATCTGGACCAAGTCGTGCAGCTGGTGGGTAAATCGGCCTTGGGCGATCCAGACAAGATTACGCTAGATGTTGCAACGCTGATCAAGGAAGACTTCTTGCAGCAAAACGGCTACTCAGATTACGATCAGTTCTGCCCTCTTTGGAAAACAGAATGGATGATGAGGGTCATGATGGCGTTCCACGATGAGGCACAGAAGGCTGTCGCTCAGGGCCACAGTTGGGGCAAGATCCGAGACTCGACATCGGAAATCCAGAACCAGCTCCGTAACATGAAGTTTGAGGTGCCGAGCGAAGGCGAAGAGAAGATCACCAAGAAGGTAAGAGTCACGAATACGAGACGATTGCGAAGAGGGGTGAAGCTAACTGTGATGCAGTACGAGGAGCTTCACCAGAAGCTCATGGACAAGTTTGCATCAGTTGTAGACGAATAGAGTGTAACTTTTAGTGGTGAAGGAAACGTTCTGTTTGCATAGCGGACTAGTTCCTCGGTATTTTGTTTGGCAGGAGAAGATAGAATGCGAGTGAATTGCATTTTGTCACCTAGTGTGGAACACGATAGTTGAATGTGGATGCCTGTTTTGTATGACGACGCCTGGACGCGTCCGATGATGTCTGTCACCAGCAAGTGAATTAATAGTGTGGCGCAAGTGACGCCACGTTTCGCGGCCCACACCACCCTTGTCCCAGGACGATCACAGACCAGCACAGCTACTCTGAGACCTACCTTCGCATCCAGCACTGCAGGCGCCCAAAAAGAATAACTGCATCGTACGCCCGCCGCTGCACATACAAACACGCAAACGACCTCCCTCCTGACGCTGCCAACCCCTTCTGACCACCGCCCTCCCCGCTCGCTGGCCATGGCGACCAACCCAACTGCGTGCGTACATGTCCCTATTCCAGCAGCCCCTCGGAACGCGGTGCGGAATGCTAACCAGCGCCCCCAGCATCAACGTCAACGACCCCGGGCTCATCACTCTAGTCAACAAGCTGCAGGATGTCTTCACAACAGTAGGAGTAAGTGTAGACGGCAACCGCGATGCTCACAACACTGCACTGACACCTAGCACCAGGTGCAAAATCCCATAGATTTGCCCCAGATTGCCGTTGTGGGGTCACAGTCAAGCGGCAAGAGCTCGGTGTTGGAAAACATTGTAGGCAGAGATTTGTGAGTCGCAACCCCCACCATGCCAGCTGTGTTCTGGGGGGCTCCCCATACTGACCGCTCCCGACCTGCAGCTTGCCCCGAGGAACCGGCATCGTGACGCGGAGACCGCTCATCCTCCAGCTCATCAACCGCGCCAGCTCCAAACCACAGACGAATGGCGTCAAAGAGGAGATCAAGACGTCTGACGCCGAGTCCAACGTCCACGAATGGGGCGAGTTTTTGCATATCCCCGGCCAGAAATTCCATGACTTCAACAAGATAAGGGACGAGATCGTGCGGGAGACAGACTCCAAGACCGGGCGCAATGCGGGCATTTCGCCGGCCCCCATCAACCTACGTATATACTCACCCAACGTCCTCACCCTGACCCTGGTTGATCTGCCCGGCCTGACCAAGGTGCCCGTGGGCGACCAGCCGAGGGATATCGAACGCCAGATTAAGGAGATGGTGCTCAAGCAGATCAGCAAGCCCAATGCCATAATACTGGCTGTCACGGCTGCGAACACAGATCTGGCAAACTCGGACGGGCTGAAGCTGGCGCGGGAGGTGGACCCGGAAGGACAACGCACAATTGGCGTGCTGACCAAGGTCGATCTCATGGACGATGGGACTGATGTCGTGGACATTCTGGCAGGCCGCATTATTCCACTGCGTCTAGGCTACGTCCCAGTTGTCAATCGGGGGCAGAGGGATATCGAGAACAAGAAGGCCATTTCGTATGCCCTCGAGCACGAGCGGCAGTTTTTCGAGAACCACAAGGCGTACCGGAACAAGGCGGCCTACTGTGGTACGCCGTATCTGGCTCGCAAGCTGAACCTGGTAGGTCCACATCAGTATCTGGGCTCCGGAATGGCTGCTAACACATCCAGATCCTCATGATGCATATCAAGCAAACCCTGCCCGATATCAAGGCCCGCATCTCTGGTTCGCTCAACAAGTACTCGATGGAGCTTTCGCAACTGGGAGACTCTATTCTCGGCAATAGCTCTAACATTATCCTCAACATGATCACGGAAATTAGCAACGAATACCGCGGTGTCCTTGAAGGCAACAACCAAGAACTATCTGCAACTGAGCTTTCGGGTGGTGCACGTATCTCGTTTGTCTACCATGAGCTTTACGCCAATGGTGTCAAGGCAGTTGATCCCTTCGACCAGGTCAAGGATGTTGATATCCGCACTGTTCTCTACAACTCCTCCGGTTCTTCCCCAGCGCTTTTCGTCGGCACCACTGCTTTTGAACTTATCGTCAAGCAGCAGATCAAGCGCCTGGAAGACCCAAGCTTGAAGTGTGTAAGCTTAGTGTATGACGAATTAATCCGAATTCTAGGTCAGCTCCTCACAAAGCCCATGTTTAGGCGGTACCCAGCATTAAAGGAGAAGTTCCATGGAGTGGTCGTTTCCTTCTTCAAGAAGGCCATGGACCCTACCAACAAGCTCGTTCGGGACCTGGTTGCAATGGAAGCTTGCTACATAAACACTGGCCACCCTGACTTTATTAATGGTTCGCGGGCTATGGCCATCGTATACGAGCGACATACTGCCGCCAAGCCTACGCAAGTTGACCCTAAGACTGGAAAGCCACTCCCGCCTACAGTACCTCCTCGAGCGTCTTCCCCCTCCTTACCCACTCTGGATGGGAATGACGGTGCAGGGTTTTTCGGCTCGTTCTTTGCAAGCAAAAACAAGAAGAAGATGGCAGCTATGGAGCCTCCACCACCCACGCTCAAGGCGTCTGGTACGCTGTCGGAGAAGGAAGCACAGGAAGTTGAAGTTATCAGTATGCTTTCTCCTATCACTGTTTGCCCCAACCAGCGCTAATCCTATCAACAGAACTTCTTATCACGTCCTACTTCAACATTGTCCGCCGAACAATGATCGATATGGTTCCCAAAGCCATAATGCTGAACCTAGTTTCCTGGACAAAAGAGGAAATGCAGCGCGAGCTCCTGGAAAATATGTACAAGGCCGAAGAGCTGGATGAGCTGCTCAAGGAATCAGAGTACACGGTTCGAAGGAGGAAAGAGTGTCAGCAAATGGTAGAGAGTTTGAAGAAGGCTAGCGAGATTGTCAATCAGGTGCAGTAAACGGACTTATGATCAGCGGGTTTCATGCACTTGGTAATAAGTCGAGCTAATGAGTATGAAGGAAGCGGAGAGATTGTCGGTCTGGGGATGTTAGAGAGTGTAGTGAGAAGCAAGGCCCTAGGAAAGCAGGCCCCGTAGCAGGCAGGGCCGTTAGGAAGCGGAATAGCAAGGTCATGGATAGAAGGGACGCAAATTGCGGTCTTGTGCATTTCACTTTGGTTTTGTGGGATGTCTGCAAAGACAAACGAGCTCAGTAGATTTCCCCTCTATTTTTTGGTCTCGCGAGATGGAGTCTGCTTACCACATCCGTCGTATCACATCATCTCACTACATATCCCCTTTTCCTGTTCGCGATACACTTGTTTTGATGAGCTGGAGATGTCGAATTGTTAGAGTAGATTATCGTAGTAGATTATTGTATCTGCGATTAGTTCCCAACTTTCGGAAGAATCTTCTGTGTGATGGGATACCTAAAGTGAGGCTTGTGATGTTCACGATGTGAAGTTAACAGTGTCAGCCATCTTTCGAATCATTTCGGCGCTCCTAAATTTTCTACAGCCTCGACGCCTCCTTCAGTACAAACCCCCCATTCTCAGCATGATATTGCCTCCCCTTCTTCCACCCCAACCACTGCCCAAGCACTGCCTCTCCCCCACTTCCGGGCTCTAACCCCTTCTCCTCCCATCCACTGCCTTCCCATCCGATACCCTGTCCGACAGCAGCCGGTCTTCCCTCATCCCCTTCATGCACCGCGAATGCGGGCGTGGATTTCAGCGTCACAGCAGGTCGTTGATCGAAGCCTTGTTCCTCCAGCTCGGCTTGTGTGAAGACGGGCGTACAACACGCGTCTGTGCCGTCAAAGATGGACTCCCATTCTGCGCGGGACTTGGTTTTGAAGACTTTGGTGAAGAAGTCGGTGAGGGTGGGCCAGTCGGCGCGGTTGTCGCGGTTACCGGGGAGGGAGTCGGAGGTGAGGTTGAGGCCGCGGAGGAGGGCGGCGTAGAATTGCGGTTCGATTGCTCCGCTGAGGATGGGAGTTAGTACAGCTATGTGTGAGAGAGAATGTAGAAAGTGTATTAGACGGGGGGCGAACATACACAGCCATATACTTCCCATCACTCGTCTCATAAGTGCCATAAAACGGCGCACCCCCATCCAACATATTCGTCCCCCTCTCCCTCCTCCAAACCTCCGTCTTCGTCCCCAGTCTCGGCATCGTCGCCAGTATCGCGCTACCATCCACCATATTCGCCTCCACCACCTGCCCAAAACCTGACTTCTCTCGCGCGAGCAATGCAAGGAGGATACCGAGGAAACACATGGTGCCGCCGCCGGCGAAATCCCCGACCACGTTGCCAGGTGGATACGGTTTCTCCCCCTTCCGGCCGAACATGGAGAGTACACCGGACACGGCGATGTAGTTTATATCGTGGCCAGCCATCATCGCGTATTTTCCATCGCGCCGGAAGCCGGTCATGCGACCCACAACCAGCCTCGGATTTATCTTCATCAACACATCTTCGGGTCCTAATCCGGCTTTCTCAAGGACACCGGGACGGAAGGGATCGATGAGGACGTCGACGGTTGGGATGATCTTTTTGACTAGCGCGAGACCAGCGGGCGATTTTATGTTCACACATATGGAGGATTTGCGACGGGTGAGCTGGTCAGATGTGGGTGTTGGGTGTGCGGAAGCGCGGTCGAGACGAAGGACCGTGGCGCCGTAATCAGCGAGGAGCATGCCGGTGAAGGGGCCTAGGGGTCTGTTAGCTTTGTGTGTCTTCCATGACGATGGGATAAGATTGCGTGCCTGGAGCCAGTCCTGCAAATTCGAGGACGCGAATTCCTGAGAGGGGCGGCGGTTGAGGGGATTGTTCTGGCATAGTGACCAGGGGGAGGGAGCCTAATGTGGATGAGTGTGAGATTGGTTGCTCTGGAATAGAGAAAGCGAGAGAGAAAGGAGAGGGGATTGCATGGCAGGTAGATACATGTTCGACGTCGATATGTATGGTTCGGTCGGCCGTTGGGGACGCACGGCTAACCGTTTCCCCCGCGGGGAGCAGGATCTCCAGGCGGACCGAGGTGGTTTTGTGCTCGGGGTGTGTTTGCAGCGTTTGCATGCCATCTATTATGCTTATCGATAATTAGTCGACCCTTACGGACGCTCCTGTAGGGTGCAAGATAGGGTGACAGGCAGCAACAGCAACGGCAACACCTTCAACACTTTTGACTTCTCCCGCAAGGGTGATGACAACGAACATAAGTTCTCGATGTTGCATGCCTCAGCCCGTTCTCCTGTCCAGACACCCTCCCAGCGAGGCTGAATAGTTATATATGATACAAAGGAAACAGGCAACTCGCTCTGATACCTTCCTGGCCTGACGGCATGCCATGGCGCCGACGACTCGGTCGAAGACAGCTGAAGTCATGCACGTGCCTGACGGTACTTCGCACATAGAGCTTTCGTCCACTCTCCACCGACGAACACTTTCATGCGATCGCGACTCACCGCAGTCCCTCATGGATGCCCTTTCAGACGCCTCCTCCTTCGATGAAGAACACCCGCCCATATACACCATAGACCTCAGCCTCTCCCCATCCCAGCGCTACATCTCCGTCGCACGGGACTACAAACTAATCCTAGAATCTCTACCCTACATCTTTGACGAGCTTCTTGAAAGCGTAAATCTCCCCAAAAAGACATTCCACCGGATTGCGCGCGCCGTGCTGCGCAAGATGCATAGTAAGGAACAGACAGAGGAGTTGAGGGGAATAAGTCGTGTCTCTGGAGTGAGAATGAGTATGTTGGTGGCGTATAATGTTCTGCTGGATTTGTTCATGGGATGCACGAGTGGGGGAATTTGTGTGAAGGAGGAGCGGAAGGAGCATAGCGGGGAAGGGGGAGAGAGGGTAATGATGCATTTCAGGACCCTGGATTGGGGGATGTCGGCGCTGAGGAAAGCCGTTGTGCAGTATGAATTTGTGGAGAAAAAAGGGGGCCCTGTCGTTGCGACATCTATCGGGTATGTGGGCTTTGTTGGGGTGTTAACGGGAGTGAGGTGGGTTCTCCTTGCCTCTAGTCTAACCCGTACAAAACGTGCAGGGTTGGGCAAAAACATCGCCAGCCGTGCACATATCCTGCCCTGTTAGCTCGACTCCTTCCCGACCGATGCTGATTGTGACAGACCAGGCCTAAGTGTATCCCTGAACTTCCGACCCTACCACAACAACGACGATTCCCGATGGTCTAACACCAAGTTCTACATTCATCATTTGCTCGTCCTCCTTGGATTTCGACCGTGTATCTCGTCTCATATCCGCGATTTCATCCTTAAGAAAACAAAAAACTCTCACCCCTATTTCTGGATGGGACCTATGCCATCACCAACCACACGTCTCCCTCTCCCTAGTCTTGCTCACATCCTCAAAGCCTTCCCCGCCATCCCAACCACCGCCGCCTACCTCATTCTCTCTGATGGAGACCACACAGCTGTCCTTGAAAAAGACCGTATCACTGCCCAATCCATACTCTCCTCGTCCTTCATTACAGCCACAAACCACGATGTATCGTACGAGCTGCCCTCGGTAACTGGAGTTCAAGCTGCGCAGGCTACGCACTCGAAAACCCACCACTTCGGCATTGGCATGAAGGATCTCGTTGAAGAAAGCATGGATCGGAAACGTTGTATGGTTGCAAAGTGGGAGCGGCGGTGCAGAAGCCTAAGACAGAAACAGAAACAGGAACCTGAACAGAGCCAGCACCAACGGCTATCGACGGGGCGCAGGAGGCGACGAGATGTGGCACTGCAACTGGAGAAGGACGAGGGTTATGTGAGCTTTAATGAACTAAAAGAATGGCTGCTGGAGTTTCCGACTACGAATGATGAGACGCATTTTGTTACCATCATGGACCCACGGAAGGGGACGGTCGAGTGGGTGAGGATGTTTGAGGAAGGTGAGGCTGTGAAGCTAGATCGTTGAGTTGATTACCGCATTCAACGTTCCGCTGTATGGGACGGTTGGAACGCTCGTAGTGCATGATAGCTTCCAGTGCTCGACTAAGAGCTTTGGTCGGCTACATGCAATGCGTTCGTAGCTCCCTTTCACATCCATCGGGCTCAACACGTCAGGGGCCGGTCAACTCAACTCAGTAGGTAATGTCCAATATCTCTAGCTCGGATAACCTATTCGGTTTCCCTGGCCACCATACCCCTCAAATCTTTCACCTTTCTCTGCCTCACCCCGTCTGTCTTTCACAGAATATTATTGCTCTCTGTCGAATTTCAGTTACACAGCCAGATTTCTCGTTCATCAGCCGACATAATATAGAACATAGCAAGTCAGGGGGCTAGTTTGAAATTAGAACTGACGTTTGCATCCTAATGAGTTCTCGCTTTTCTAGGAAGAGGGTTAATATGAGGGACTATATCCTAGTTGTGGCCCACATTACGTCATAGCGTTACTGTAGAGTAACCTTGCGGGAAATATTAAATACAAGCATGTCCTCAACTTCACAGCTTACCAATGCTGCATGCTTTTACTGAGCATAGAACGCGACAAGGGTAGTTAGCGACAAATATTTGTATCCTACTAACGTACACCACAGGCGAGTTGCTCACACACCTAAGTTACTTACTTTTGCTAAGACTCTACTAAACTACTCTTTCTACACTAATGCATTCCTAATAACACTACTTAGATGTGCTAAAAGAACATTAGATATAGCTTACACTTTAGGCTTTTAAGTAAAACATAACACTTTTAAAGTAACATGCTATAGCTATATATAAGGTCTTTTAAAAAATAATAAATAACTAATATACTAAATAACTTTTAACATACACTATAGGCAAGTTGCTTACACACCTAAGTTACTTACTTTTACTAAGACTTTACTAAACTACTTTTTTACACTAATACATTTCTAATAACACTACTTAGATATGCTAAAAAAAATATTAAATATAGCTTACACTTTAAGCTTTTAAATAAAATATAATACTTTTAAAGTAATATGCTACAGCTATGTATAAAAGTTTTTAAAAAATAATAAATAACTAATAACGTACCTAACGGGTTGGCCGGCCACACGGGTTAGCCGGCTACTTTTGCTAAGCCCCCACTAAAACCACCCTATTCTCTCGCAAAACAGCCTACTTTAGCCCTGTATAAAGTAATATAACATAAGATATTATTTAGAGTCTACTTTTACTACTTACTTATATGTACGCAAGTTATGCCTAGTCTAATTGCACTGCTTGCATTGCCTTTAACTTAGCTTACCTTCTTTAGCGCGCACCTGCGTCTTTAGCTTCTTCTTATTACTACGCGCTCTAAACTCCTTTAGAGCAGTTAGACAAGCCTTATTCTTAACTATTAAAGTTTTTTTTACCTAAATTTGCTTCTTTTTATGCAATTTATATTGCGTAGTAGCCTTATTTACTGCTTAAAGCTCTGTTATCTTATAGCCTACTCTATTATATTAATGCCCTAGATAACTATTATTTACTTTTTATTACCTTACTATATTACTTTTAGCTGTCTTTATCTCTTTAAAGCTGTAACAACTACTCTAGTTAATATTTAGCCTATTATAAAGCCTAACTTGTTAAAGTTATACCTGTCTTTATTCTAGATACTGTACTTAGCTTTTATGTTAGCTACTAGGCAAAACTAGCTCTAGATAACTTCTAGATTTTTATAGAGCACTCTTTTATAATTATACTTATAATTAAACTTTATTATAAACTTAAGGTAGTGCTTAACTTATATACTAGTCTAGTTTAAGCTGACCTAGCCTAGATTGCGCTTTGTAGGTAAGGAATTAGCTATATTAGCTATAGCTATAAGCCTAAGGGGAAATCTGCGCGTTATAAGCTTAAGTATGTACTTAATAACTACCTTCTTTTTAAGCTTAGTTAGATTTCTTAATTTAGGCTAGCATTCTGCTTGTAAAGGCTGTCTAGTGCGTTAATTACTTAGTGTTGTGTAAGAGACATTATAGATAGCTACAGCGCGTTATAAAAAGAGTTTTAAGTCTTATTTAAGAGCCTAAAGAGTAAGCTGTATCTAACATTTTTTAGAAGATTTAATCTAGTGTTGTTGTTAAGGCATTATGTAGATAGGTAGAGTTTAGTGGGGGCTTAGCAAAAGTGGCCAGCCAACCTGTGTGGCCGGCCAACCTGTTAGGTACGTTATACTAAATAACTTTTATAAGCTAATTTTATAGCTAACTTATAAAAGCTAAATAATAATAAAAAGTAAGTAATTATTAAGTATATACTTAAGCTATATATATAAGAATTTTTCTTTTAGCTAGTAACTATAGCTAATATAGCTAATTCTTTACACACTAAGTTGTAATAAGGTAGGCGCCCCGCCTGCTAAGCTAATACTATACAACTTTCCCCGCTGTACTAAAAGGTACGCACAAGAATACTTAAGCTAAGTATTCTTGCATAGTATAATATATATATATAGGTAATGCTAGGGTAAGCACTAGCACTAGCGGTTGTCTCTAGCCTAGCCTAAACCTCTATAGGCGAGAGAAGACCACGTGGTTGACTTGCTAACCTTGTTACATAAGTGTAATTTAGGCTATATTAGCATAAACTAGCTTAGTATAATTATAATGTGTTATTTAAAGCTTAAAGAAAAGTTTTAAGTATAAGTATAGTTAGTAAATATCTAGCCTAACGTACTTCACAGGCGAGTTGCTTACACGCCTAAGTCACTTACTTTTGCTAAGACCCCACCCTAGCAAACTCTATTATAGCCTATAACAACCTGCTCTAGCACTATATAGTACAGTACAGCCTAGAATATTATTTAGATACTACTTCTACTTCTTACTTATATATTTATGTGTTATGCTTAGTCTAATTACACTATCTATAGCGCCTTTAGAATAGCTTACCTACTTTAGCTTACACCTGCTTTTTTGCCTTTTTCTTATTACTACGCGCTTTAAACTTCTTTAAAGCTATTAAGTATAAGCTTTATTAAATTATTAAAGTTTTTTTTACTTTAATTTACTTTTTTTATATAATTTATATTACATAGCAGCTTTATTAGCTTTTTAAAGCTTAGTAATTTTTTATTATACTAATACTAGCTTATATATAATTATTACTACTTTTTTAAAACTTTTTTAAATACTTTAACTATAAAAGTTAGTAAACTATTTATATACTTTTAAATTTTTATTTTTATAAGTATTAATTATAACTTAAGTTTTAAAGTATTACTTAAAGTTTATACCTACTAAAGCTTATTATATATAAGTAGTAGTAGTAATAAAGTATGTAACTTTATATTAAGGCCTATAATAACTTATTATAAGTTAAAAAGAACTAATCTAGCGCTTTAAAACTCTTCTTAAATATTACTAAAAGTAATTATAGCATTATAGGCTACTTTAAAGTATAGTAAAAGCTTTATTTTTATAATATAAGTAATCTAGTTATATATAAAGTTTTTAGCTTAGCACTTATACACTTTTTTAAAAAAGTAAAATAACTTATATTAAGTAGCTATAAAAAGTGTAATAAGTAAAAAAGTATATAAATAGTAATAATTTTATTATTTTTATAGTATTACTAAAAATAAAGTAAGTTATAGCTTTTATAGCTGTTAATAACTAGTAAATAGTAGCTACTAATAGTACACTTCTTTATATGCATGTTAAAGTGCTTTAACTAGTTTAGACTAAGCTAATTAGTAGTCTAGCTACACTTAAAGACTATAATAACTTAATTTTAAAGTAAATTTTCTTTTTTATACTAGTTTAAAAGGTAATTACAACCTTAAAAAATAATAAAAAGTAAAATAGCCTACTTTTTAGTATTAATGCCCTAGATAGCTGTTATTTACTTCTAGTTACCTAGCTAGACTACTTTTAGCTATTCTTATCTTTTTAAACCTATAATAACTACTCTAGTAAATATTTAGCTTATTATAAACTTTATTTTATTAAAGTTATATGCGTTATTATTCTAGATACTATACTTAGCTTTAATATTCTTTATAAAGTTAAACTAGCTTTAAATTACTATAAAAATTTTATAAAAAGCTTTTTTATAGTTATACTTATACTTAAACTTTACTTTAAGCTTTAAGTAGCGCTTAATAAATATATTAAGCTAGTTTATACTAATATAGCGTATATTATGCTTAGTATATAAAGAATTAGCTATATTAGCTATAGCTGCTAGCTAGAAGGGAAATCCTTACATATCTAGCTTAAGTATATACTAAATAATTACTTACTTTTTATTATTATCTAGCTTTTATAAGTTAGCTATATAATTAGCTTAAAAAAGTTATTTAGTGTGTTAGTTACTTATTATTTTTTAAAAAACTTTATAAATAGCTGCAGCGTGTTACTTAAAAAGTGTTATATTTTATGTAAAAGCTTAAAGTATAAGCTACATCTAATGTTCTTTTAACATGTTTAAGTAGTGTTATTAAAAATACATTAGTGTAAAAAAAGTAGTGTAGTAAAGTCTTAGCAAAAGTAAGTAACTTAAGTGTGTAAGCAACTTGCCTGTAAAGTACGTTATTATATTATTACTATATTAAAGCTATATATATTATTATTTTATTAAAGTTATATAACGTACTTTACAGGCAAGTTGCTTACACACCTAAGTTACTTACTTTTACTAAGACTCTACTAAACTACTTTTTTTATACTAATGCATTCCTAACAACACTACTTAGATGTGCTAAAAGAACATTAGATGCAGCTTACACTCTAAGCTTTTAAATAAGATATAAAACTTTTAAAAAAACATACTACAGCTATATATAAAGTCTTTTAAAAAATAATAAATAACTATAGCACTAGATAACTTTTATAAGCTAATTTTATAGCTAACTTATAAAGGCTAGGTAATAAGAAAGAGTAGGTAGTTATTAAAACTATACTTAAGCTATATGTGTAAGAA